CGGGTTAGGGGGGGGGGGCAGAGAGATACAAATCCACGATTAGGACTGAGAGACACTCTTCCTCTTTCATCCTCTCTTTCACTCTTTCCCCATAGACTATTATAACTCTTTTTTTAAATGCCGTCTAGAAAGACGATACCTTTGTCCAATACCCTGTATTAAACATACTGAATTGGCATCAGCAATGTCCACCGTCTACCTCAGATACTTACAACGGATTAATTATCAATCTTTCAAAACTTGAGTTTGTGGTATAATGGTTAACTCTATCGGCTTGCACGTTACACAGGTGAATTTGATTCCTGTGGGGAGAAGATATTACACTAAGTGCCTGTGTCATTATGCTGGAAATTCAGGGTTGGTCATGACAAACAGGGTCGAAACAGCATAATAGCTCATTCCTATATTTGATACTATCCATTTTTTTTCAATGGGGGCTGAAGAACCAAACTTTATTTTCGATGTGTTCAGGTTTTGGAGTTGAGCTGATCGTGACCTTCCTGTTGGTCATCACTTTCTTCGCCTCCCAGGACGATAAGAGAACAGACCTGCGTGGCTCCGCCCCCTTGACCATTGGTGTGGCCGTCATTGCCTGCCACCTGTTTGCGGTAAGAATTGATTACACATATTGCGTATTATCGTAGGAAGAAGAAGAGAGAATATTGTCATTCTGTTCAGAAAAAAAAGAGAAAAAGTCAAACGCCAGACTCAGATCTGTGGTGTAGCAAATGAATTCTTTGCTGCCGCATGCAGACTACCTGACTTAGATTTGCGTGAGGGGTGAATTTTCATTAATTATCTCAGTCTTTCTGCTTGGATACTGTACCCGTCGAGGTCCAGTTTGACCTTGAAAAGCAGGGTGTTGAAGGCCGTCTCCTAAATTATCTAAATTTATGTTGATAGGGGCGTAAATACACCCAGAGTGAATTTTTCAAAAGTTTATTCAACTATCAAACAAACTTCACAGTCAGTTTTTTTCCTGTGCTGTAGTAAATCGCATTGGCTTTTTACCACTTCATTGTTTTCCTGTCAGATTGTGCACTCTTAAACATAGTTCTATACAGTTCCTTAGTGTTTGACTAATCATTTCTCTTCTCAGATTTTCCGATGCAACCCCCCCCCCCTCACACACACACCTTCTCCCTGTCAAAAGATAGGCTTTTAAGGAGGGGAGTACTTCTCCATAGCACTCTAACAAGTGCCTCTAAAGTAGCTGGAGTCAATGGTTGTCTCATTCAGCCTCTGTTAGATGCGTTTCGAGTCAGCTGACATAGTTTTGACCTGGTCCACAAGTACCTGCAGGGGCTTTCTGCGTGATCATTTTTGGGCGTGGCCCAGATAATAATATCATTATTATGATACGGCCAAACCACTAGAGTATCCTCTTTCCAACGGTTGAAATTAGGTCTTTGAAGGATCTAATATATTGCCTTGGTTTACTTCATTCTGATTATGATTGTTATCTACCCCCCCCCCTCCCCCAACAAAAAAAAGAGCTTGGTTACAGTTTTTTGTGCAGTTTTGTTACCGCTTTATTTCTTCCCATTCTTGTTCGTTCTTTCGCGGTGAGTAACCGGGATTTATATTACCTTATCACGTTTTTCAAGCTCAGCGTAAATCTTCTTCACTATAAGGACATCGTTAGCTAGTTTCTTAAGTTTTGGGGTTGGGTTTGCGGGGCTTTTTATGTATGTGCTTTTGAGGGGGTTTTTCATTTGGTTTTTTGTATGGCCTTGTTCTGATTTGCCGCAATATCTCTGTGTGCAGTTCAAGCAAACGAGATGCGGCATGAACCCCGCTCGTAGCTTTGGACCTGCCCTCATCACCAGCAGCTGGGATGACCATTGGGTGAGTTATGTAGAGGACTTTCCTCTTTCCTTCTCTCTCTCTCCCTCTCTCTCTCTCTCTCTCTCTCTCTCTCTCTCTTTCTCTCTCT